TATATATATATTTATATTTAGAAATTTGTTAGACGAAAATTAACTTTAAGTTTCAGTTTGAATAATTGCTGAAAAATATCTCACGTTGCCCTCTAGATCAGCAGATCTAGATCCCAACTCTTTTTCTCTGCTGTACCCCCCCCTTGATTAGGAAATCTCCACCCATTCCTAAAAAAAAAAAAAACTTTCACACGAGTCTCTCTTTGTAAATCAATACTCTATAACTTTGCTTTTGTCTTTTCATTTTATTTTTATTTTTGTTTTGTTCTCTTTGTTTTATTTTAAGCTTGTCCCTTTTATTTTTCCACTATTATTAATATTGTTTTGTATTACTCCCCAGGGGTACGCTAGATGATATGCTTTTCTGCTTGTAAATTAATAGAGAATTGTTTATTCTGACGTTTCAGTGTTGCGGTTCTTTGTACTGCGTTGTTTTGTGATATTTTGGCTTCAAGAGACATTGAAACAGAAAAGAACTTGGAAGGAAATTAGACTGTGAATTTTTATGCATTTGTAGGAAATTCAGAGGTACAAGAATACGCAGACAATATGGAGAAATGCATAATATATTTACAAAGAAAGTGAAATAAATCTCTGCGTAAGTTCAATTTTTCAAATTGAAAAAGCTCAGGAAAGTAAGAATTTGCGTAGAAAACTGCCAGTTTCGCAATTACCGACGAAAAGATATTTTTCGATAACTTTCGTGAACCTCTCTACTCCCTTAATAAGCTTCCTCGAGATCTAAAGTCAGAATTTATGATTTGTAGATCTAGAAGATCGGAATTTATGACAATTCAAAGTCAAAATTTATAATTTATAATCCATTTAAAAAAAAAAAGTCATTCTACAACGCCAAGTTTATTAAGAGTCTAGATATAAATACAGCCAAGTTCGGTCTCACAAAATACGGTCTTTGGTCTCGTATACCCGAAATAACATTACAACGAGAAATTATAAAGAGAGGAAACAAGGGAAATGGCGATGGCCGCGCAAATGCGCGTCGTTTTGGACGATTAAAGGGATTCGAGATGCGTCGAGGCGTGATACAGGAAATATTTAAACATTCGGTTTGCCAAGTTTACCCGCGACGTAGGACAACAAAAGGCTGTGCGGCTTCCATGCCAAAGTACAGGACAGTGGTAGATAAAACAATGCCCTCCGCCAACCCCTGGTTACTGCCAGCACCGTCGACCAGCAGCACGAACAAAGAGATTCGTCATTTCTGAAACAAAATATGTGCACGGTTTTATCGAGGCTTCGTGTCGTCGTTCTTGACAAAAAAGAAAAAGAAAAAAAAAGAAACAGCGTTGCAAATTAGATTTATGGGGGCAATAAAGTGTGATGTAATACAGCGTTGCCCGGAAGGAAGCTTTTATTAGAGAAAGTATGAGCTACAGTTAAGAGTAACTTTATAGAGTGATAGCATGCGTGTAGTTTGCCAAAGTACAGGAATTTGTATAAGTATTTCAACGAGAATGTGAAAATAGCGCAGGATATAATTGTTTACGTGGAAATTTGTATTATGAACTTCTTATGCGACGAAGTTTGGTTTTACAGTTTATACTATTTTTATAAACAGCATAAAAATTTTATAATTAGTATTTATGTAACATACAATTTTGTATAATGTATGTAATTTACAGATGTTCCTCGGGTGTTGATGGGCTTCTTAATAATTTTAAATTATTAAAATAATATTTTTCTTCATTTATATAGAAGAAATTCACTAAAGTATATTATTAATAAAATATTATTTATAAAATATATTATAAGTTATCAATTATATATATATATATATTTATTTATAATAATTCTGTTTATTTTTCGTTGTATTCATTGTCATTCTATAGAATAGAAAATTTTGAAGGAAATTTGCGGGCTACAATACTCATTTTATAAGATAGAAAATTTCAAAGGCGCCCACAAATTAGTAATCTGCAAAATTCATTTTATGAGACAGCAAATTTTGTGCTAACCCACAAATTAAATACTTACACTACGTAGGAAATTTCTAGGCTTACGAAATTTATTTTGTTTATAGTAGGAAATTTCAGATGTGCCCACAAATTATTTTTATGGGAAATTGTTTGACAAGTTCTCCCTTATATTCTGGATTGAAAAGAGTAGAATTACCAGACCAAAATATAGCATCATACAGAATGTGGAATATAGAATGCAGACAAGAAAATGGGACATGGAATGTGAAATATTAT